GGGAGACTCCTAATCCTTTTAAATTGCAGGCGCATGTGACAGATGGGATTGAAGAAGGTCTAAAAATGTGTATGTGACATGGATAAGAACAAATTCCACAAGTGTCAATGCTCTGCAATGTCAAGATGGGCCAGAGGGGAATCAGTGAAATTTAAATTTTGTAGACAGTGCAAGGGAATAAGAACAGGAAATTCTGCCATTGCTGTAAGCAGTTAAGATCAATGTTTTGCAAAGAACAGTAATTAAATTTACACTTATAAATTAAATCCTCATGTCCTGACTGCAAATAATCCATTGTTGAATCTCCAGTTATTTCCCTTCTTGTATGTCTCCTTTTTTATTGACTACAGTGATATCTTCTGAATACTGAATGTCAAACTGTATTAGGCGCTTCAGTCCTCACCACAGTCCTAGGACTTTTTACAGATAAGGTCTCTGAAGGTCAGAGAGTTTTATAATTTGCCCAAGGTCACAGAGCTAGTAAGTGACTAAAATCAGATTTGCCAGACTCCAAAACTTACATCTTCCCATTTTGTCTTCTGTCTCTCAAATTAATGGTAGCTATAAAGACCACAAGTGCTTAAGACCCAGACAGTCAAGCCATCTAGGTCCCAGTCCAGCTGGACTCCTTCTCTGTGTGACCTTGGACAAATCAGTGAATCTCAGGGAGTCTCAGTTTTCTCATCTCAAGAGGGCAAGAATAATAGTACCTCCCTTACAGGGTTATTATGAGTAAAATAATCCATGTAAATGACTTAGCATGATAAGTGCTCAAATTCTGTGTTTTTATTGTCATTTATACCGTCACCATCTCATGCCTACTCTTTGCTACATACTGCACTGAGCATTTTATGTGTATTATCTTTTCAGTAGCTCTGTAAGGCAGATATTAGATCCCCACTTGCACAAGGGAAACAGACACAGAAGGGTTAATTATCTTGACTGAGATTATATAGCTAGTAGGTAGCAAAGTCAGGATTTGAACTCTAGTCCATCTAGCTCCAAAGCCTGTTTCATTTGTACCCGTATGATGATCTTAAGATCCTTTCCTGTATTTGATGTGATGATAGGCAGTGATGTCAGCGTCAGTGATGGTGAGGTCCATGTAGCTGTAGGTGCTGCCGCCTACTGAATGAGAAGCAGAACCAGGATCAGCCCAGGTCTGTCTGACTGCGGAGGCCAAACCACCCCTGACCACTGTTACTCGCAGCTTAAGGCGAAACAGTAACTTGGTATTTATGGATCTGCTAATTCCACTTACAGGAAGCTTGAAATTGGGGATACTTGGAAGAGTTACCCAGAGTTCTATTTTTGCTTTACAATTTTATTCCCCAATTGCTTCCAGAAGGCTTACAGTCTTCCTTACTTTTATCTCTAAGACATTCCTGACTAAGTCGGAATTAGTTTGTGAGTTTGGACAGTATTAACAGGGCACTTGGGGCAGAAAATAAATCTCCCCCTTTTGTGTTAATTTGGAAAGTCTCTATGAAATGAGTAGATTGTTCCAGCCACATGGTAGAGCTCCATAAATCCACAGCTCATAGGTTATATGAGCTCCTGCTTCTGTCATTCAGCAGGCTCATTTGCACAGTGATTCTTCTCCGCAGACTGAAGAAAACTTCATTTGATTCTCTTGAAATCATCCCTTCCAAAATGAAATAGGATTGGAATAACCAACAAAGTTGTGAATAATTCAGATTCTCATTAGAATCCCAACTCGAGCTTTCAGCATAGAGGCAAACCCGTGGCCAGACAGTCAACAGGCTTTTTAAACAATTTGCATGTGTTCAAGTGTCAGAGTTAAATAAACAACAGTCACTTGGGGAATGATTTTCCAGAGTCATTAATGAAAGTTTGTGTCGTCTGCTCTGACTTGATCTAATTTGCAAAGGCACCCTGTACCTTGGAAGAACGTGTAATAGTAATTATGATAATCACATGTCTGGCACTGGACATTTTGCTGTGTGCTTCCTTGCACATTATCTCATTTGATCCTGAGAATAGCCCTATCAGCGGTCGTCAGGAGTCTGGGCCTGGCTCACAATGAGACCCAGGGAACTGGCCCCTGGGACTATGACTCTTGCCCATGGCAAAAATCTCCTTGCAGAGCTGATTCTCTTATGCTTGAATAACTTAATTATTTTAGAGGAAACAGCTGATGAGCAGAGTGGAATTCTCCCTCATTTGTTCTCGTATCTCTTCCTGCTCTGCTGTATATAAATATTATATTGGAAGCAATTTTTCACGCATCTGTCTAAAACCATGGTCCTTCCTCACAAGTTACTCTTCTTTGTTTCTCCAGCATTTACTACAGTTGTCAGGAAATAGTAAAAGCTCGCATTTTTGTTGACAGTTGAAATCGAAGTCCATGTTATTTTTGCTCCCATTGTAATTCGGTGAGGATCTCATTTTCAATAACTCATTAGAAAAAAAGAGACAAAATTGGGAGGCCAGAGGCAAAGCAGGATGTGAGGGAAAATAATGAGAACCAGGCCTATCACTAACTCGGAATTCATTTTCAAATGCTCTTAGCTAGGGATTGCTGAAGGTGCTGTAACTGAGGCCAGAGGCAGAAAGGTGCTAGAAGACACTGTTAGGTTGAAACTCATCCTTGTATGTTTGGGACAACAGCTTTTGTAGTGAAGATTGCCTGGAGATTAGCCAAATGAATGGCTGCTACAGCCCTGGGACTTCACTCCCGGTCACTCTCCTACTTAGTTGTATGGCAGGGCAGGAAATCTCTCATTGTGAGATAGCCATCCAACTTGCTATGCTGTTGGCCTCCAGCTTAGAGATGCATCATGGGATGCATCTGCCTAGCACAGTGCCTGGCAGGTGCAAAACTCATACTTAGTAGCCATTTTTAAATGTCAATGATAATGGTACACAGTGAGGTTGTCACCTGAGGATGACCAAATAAAGAGTAGGAGAAAGCTTCTTAGAGGTTGCAGTCCTTGAGCTTTTCTTTCTGTTGTTGAGGCTCAGTAGGAGACTGGAGATGTTTGTAGCACTGGTAAACTTGTTTTTGGGTTTCCAGCTGGTCGGGAAGTTAGGAGTTTTTTCTTGCTTTTACTTTGTTTCCTTCTCTTCTTATTCCCTTGCCCCAGTTGAACTCAGCTACGTGTAGTGATTCAGTTTATCTTGTTGAAAATGTTCAGTCCTCTAGGGAAAATATGATACTGCTGTTTTCAGACAGCTGTGTTTAGGAGTGAGACTGATTTAACCAGCTGGCTGGCATCATTGGAGCCCGAGGACCCGCCAACCCATGGAGAGCAGCTGTTTGGGCTGAAATTCTTATAATTCTTATGATTTTGTTTCCTACATATCAGCTTTTGAGTTGTGTTTTTAAATGCACACAGAAAAGGAGAGAGAACCATGAGAAAGACTGATGTGTCTAGGGCCACTCATGGGTGAAAAGTGGCCCTAGACACATCAGAGACTGTTAGGAAGGAGAAAACTCAGGAGGGAGGAGACCAACTTCAAAGAGTAAGAGATGGTAATGAATGGATCCATAAATTTTGATTTTTCAATATATAGTGGGGGTGTCATGCAGCCATTAAGAATCATGTCTGAAGATTTTTTTAATGAGGAAATACTGTATAATGTTAGATGAAATGTATGTGATACAAACAGAATAAAGAATATAATTTCAATGATGAAAAGTGTGTGTTAACATCAACTGGGATAATTCATATAAAGCATTTAACTTAGTGCCTGGTGTGACAAGGACTCAGTAAACCATAGCTACAGGAAGGCAGACTCTCTAACCACAGAACATGTTTGCCTCCTTCACTGTTATACCCAGAGTGCCTACTGTAAAGGAGATACTTAAAAGGTGTGTGTTGATTGAATGAATGAGCATCAGTATTATTGTATGCATTTAAAAAGGAATCTGGGGGAAAAAACTGTTATTTTCTGAAATTGTATCTACAATTGTGGCTACTGAACCTCCCTGAGACTTAGTTCTTCATTATAAAATGCTGAGGACATTACCTGTTGCTCAGGATTGCTGAGAACTGAGTGGGCTACATGAAAAGAACACAGTATGATGACTGGTACCTAAGGGAGTCTGCAATAAGTGGCGGCTACTATAATCATGGTAAGCACCATGTAAGTATTAGCTATTATAATTATTAAAGTCTGCCATACTTTTATCTGTAGAAATAAAGATGAGAGTGATCATGATTTCTGTCTATCATTTTTTAGCATAAACTTTTAGAAGAATAAAATTCCCTCTTCCAAAAAAAAGCTTATAACTAAATAAGACCTAAATGCTTACAGTGGTTATCTCTAAGTGGTAGAATCGGGATAATTTTTTGTTTTCTTCTGGAGACTCTTCTGCATTTTTCAAATTGTCCATAGTACGTGTGTGTGTGTGTGTGTGTGTGTGTATGCGTGTGATACTTTTATCAAGATAAACGAGGAAAAGCTCAGCATCACAGATAACGTGGAACTGCTGAACTAGAAAAGGATGCTGCAGCTGAGGACAACTGATGAGGATTGGGAAATGGTGCCCTGCCCTGGGGCCCTTCATGAAATGTTATTTAAATCCATGTTTCACAGTTTAAGAAAGTTACGAAGTAATTGTTAAGAACTTAGAACCAATGAAGAAAGATAAAGGAATTTTTGATTCATTGGTTCTGGACAAAGGTAGTCAAAAACTTCAAGTGCTGTTAACAGACAGTGGCTTCTACTGAGCACAGCTGCTTTCTGTTTCCCTGGAGAGAACAATGAAAAGCCGCTCAGTGGAAATTGTGGCAGAAGAGGTTAGAAATGGAAGTGGGTGGTTATCAAACTCTGGGATAAGCTTCCAAACGAAAATGTTTAATGCCATTTCCTAGAAATGTTTAAAATGAAGTCCTGAGCAACTGCCAGTGGTCTTCTCAGATCTTTTCTTGCTGATTCCAAGACACTGCCAAGCTTTCCGTTGTACTGCTTCAGGCCTGTTTTCTTCCCAGTTCACAGATGTGAGTAACCTTGTTGTGAAACTTTGTTTGCAGATATTTAACACCGTGCCCGATATGCCTCTCACCAATGCCCAGCTGCACCTGTCTCGGAAGAAGAGCAGTGACTCCAAGCCCCCGTCCTGCAGCGAGAGGCCCCTGACGCTCTTCCACACCGTTCAGTCAACAGAGAAACGTGAGTCTCTGCTGCGTGGGGCCAGCGTGGCATTCAGGGACATCCCATGCTACCTGCCGCGGCTCAGGGTGGACACTTCCAGCTCTTCTCTGTGTGCTGCTGGCTTTTTGTGTCCTTGAAGACTGTATCATTGTGCCCTCCCAGGTGCCTTTGCTGAGTAACCCTGATAGGACGGGAGAATGAAAGGGAAGGGCTGCCACTGAGGATTCTCTTTCCAGATCTCCTGTGAACAAACAGCTGAGTCTCTTTTCCTCCTGCTCCGACACAATAAGAGCTGAGCTCAGGCACTGCTTCTTCAGCTCCCCTTTTGTTAGCAATTCCCGTAGAGCCAGTGTGCTTTCCTTTTCTCAGTTGTAATGAAATACCCATTAGTGTGAGTCACATGCCCTACTAGAATGTGACTCTGTGAGGGTGGCACCTTGTTCAGCTTGATGTTTTACTCCACCTCTCATGGTGCCTGGCATGGAGTCGACACCTAAAAATATTTGAAATTCATTAGTGAATTAATTAGGGAACAATACCCCACTTGTTCCAAACACCAGCGTGTTATCACCACAATTATATCACATCTGTTTTTCATCTCAGGATTTCTGAGTTCTTTGCAATGATCAGGTACTGACCCCTAAAATATACAGTATTGTTTCAGCCTTTGCTCTGAGAGCGCCTCTGTTTGCTCATCTGTAAAATCGAGATAAGAGGACCCACTCATAGGAAGTTATGTGAATTAAATGAAATTATGCATTTCAGCATCTGGCATAAGGCCTGGGACATGGCAAGGGCCAATTACTGAGAGCTGCCACTACCATTATTGGTTACTGTTTAATCACACACAGATAACCAAGTCTGGTTCTTTCATGCAGCTGACATTTACATGACAGCTCCCAGGGACTGGGAATATCAACATGGGACCTTGGCTTTAAGGAGTTCAAAACTGGGTAAGGAAAGTAGACAAGTGACTACAAATGTAAGTCAGCATCACAGCTGCTTCCTTAGAGAGACCTACACTGAGAGAGGCAGCGGAACACAGTGGTTAAACACACTCTGGCCCGGGTCATCCGGGTGTGATTCTACCTCTGCTGCTCGTCAGCGATGTGTGGCTTGGGAAGTTACCTGATATCTCAGGGCCCCATTCTCCTCTTCTGCAAAATAGGGTTGATGCTTTCTATTTCACGGGGTCGTTCTGAGGATTAAGACCCTTCAAACGTTGCCAGATGCAGAGTCAGTGCTCAGTAAATGCTGGGTGGTGATGGCACTGGTATTGCCATCATCATCATTATTATTACTCATTTCTGTGAGGTACAATAGAGGGACAGAGGCAGGACAGTCCCTTGAAGAGGAGAGGCTTCATATCTGGATTGGTATCTTTCTTCTTGTCACAAAAAAAGGTGGTTATTTAATCCCCTTGTATTTCTAAAGTAATGGCCTTCCTTACCGTAACTCCTAAAAGCAAACCTTCCCCATCCCAAAACCCTTACTGCACTTAAAGATGTCATTGAATCTCATCATGTGGCTGTACCTTGCTATGTTTAGTATCATTCGGGTTGTTTCAAATATTTTGCTTTTATAAGTAAAGCTACTATTAACATCCTTGTAACTAAATCTGCTCTTATTTCATGAACATTTCTTTAGATAAATTCTTAGAAGAATTTCTAGGTCAACAGATATACAAGGTTTCAGGACTTTGACCCTGTCCTGGGATTGGCTTTCCTTCTCACAGTGGCCTGTGTTCCTTTTAAATATATCTGGCTGGGGTCACTCTCAGTGTGGTCTGCACGTGGCCTGGGCCCCTGCGAGTGTACCAGGGAACACTTGGAACAGAACTGGCCTCACTCACACCTGCTGAATGAATGAGGCATCAGGCTATGGGGTAATGTGCTTCTCAGGTTTCCAGGACAGCCACGGTCACCTAATGTTTTGTACTAATCAGTGTACGGTGTAGATTAGGAGAGGCTAGACAGTATTGGTAAATTCCCCTAAGCTTAAAATAGTGCTGGGTGTGTAGTTAGACTGAAGCAGCAGCAGCGTTGGAACAGGCTTTAAAGCATTGTCTGGGAGCTCATAAGAATGATGATGGAGATGAGGAGAAAATCAACTAGATCTTTGTCCAAGATTAATTTTATCACACAAGGCAAAGGATGAAAGTTAAGGATGTGTGAAAGCAGGACTGTCTCAGCTGCAGAGCAAGCTGCTCTGTCCATGTCTGCAGATGGTAGACAGGGGATGCAAAAGGGGAAGAGAGTGAACAATAGGGCCTTTCTCTTAATGTTAGGAAATGCTCCCTGGAAACACGACCGGCGCATACAGGTAGGCTCAGATATTTGTAGGGAGTCTAACTTTCCCTCCTTTCTCAGAGAATAAACATTATAACTGCAAGTCTGTGTGTTCTTTAATTGCGATTTATGTATGTGTCTGTGTGTATATATTGGTTTGTTTTAGAGACCCCTTTTTTTCTGGGAAGCTAGTATACTATCCAAACCGGCATGAAGGGCACCCTGTGGGGGGCCAGTGGGAGAGTTGACTGAGGAAGACTGAGCTAGGAGCTAGAAGGTTGTGCTGGGACCTGCCCCCTCCCAGGTTGTAATCCAGCCACCCATCACTGTTGGGTGAGCAGATGATAATGCACTGTGAAGTTTTCACACAATTCACCTTTCCCTTTGTCTGGTCTATGGACAAAGACAGAAAACTTTTTCCCAGCACTTTGCTGAATTTACTCTTTGGCATTAAAGTACAGGTAACGATTATGCAAATATAATAATTTGTGAAAAAAGGTATGTATTTCCATATAACAGTGATTTCAGTTTGAGGCCTCCTGACACACTTTGCTCAGTGCTTAAATGCCAGTCATGTACCTAACCCCTCATTCACCATTTGTGCTACAGCCACATAGCCCGTGTGGCTCACTGTGACTTATTTAATATACTTCTTTAAGTTAACCTTAAAGCAACTCACTTCTTTCCCTGGCTTCATCCTGATACATAAGATCTCTAAAAACATGACTTCGATGATCTCACTGTATTATTCTCTAATATATGTTAAAATAAATATGTAACCATTAAGATGGAAAGTGGTCATCCATATCCCACCTTAGAATTATTTTGTGTACCACTTGTGGAATGCCTACCACCGTTTGGAATCCACAAACTGGCTTTTAATTTTGACTGACTTCCATCCTTCCTCTTAATTTAAGTACACAAACTCAAGTTCCTTTTGTCCACTCAACTAGAATTGGGTTCAGATATTGTCAGTGGGCTGTGGACACTTGCCGTTCATGTCAGTTTCCTGCTGCGCCCTTTCAGTTCATAGTGACACCTCTCCTGGTTTGATGCCACCTTACCTTTCTTCAGGTTCTTGCCACAGAGCAGATGCCCGGTTGGAGGGATGTGCTGTGAGGGCACACATGCACCCATAGGCACCTGCACATGCGCACTCCCACATACCTCACCTCTACCTTCACACTTGCCCTGCGATAGTTTTCAGAACCTCATTTCTTTTGATAAGTCTGTCCACCTGATCTCTTTTGAGTACAGTCATTCTCCTTTTTCTCTTCATTGATGCACTTGCAAGTTAATGTTTATTTGGCATTCCATTTGTCATACTCTTTCCAGTTCCCCAGTTGAAATGCTTAATGGGGCTGAGGCTTCCAGAGTAGCTCACTTAGGTATTTCCCTCCAAGAGACTCCAGGTGTTGTTGGCAGCATACATTTTTTTCCCAACCTCTCTGCAGTGTCCTTATTCTGTGCGGAAGTTGGAGCCCATTGTTTGCTCTTAGAGGTGAATCTTGGCCTCGGATTGTCATTTGCCTCTTTCTTCCCGGAGAACAAGCTCCTCAGGCTCAGGCCTCTGTCTTTGCACCTGCACTTCAGGCTCATGGTCTGGGATATTAGATGATGCTCATAGATGTGTGTCTTATTATCCAGAAGGGGTTTTTCCTTCAGTGTAAGTAGACCAGGTGTGTGTCCAGGTCCCTGCCTGCGACTCTCTCTCTTTAATCTATGGGTATTAGTATAGTCTTCTCTAGGTGGTTTTTTGTTTTGTTTTGTTTTGTTTTCCTTTTCCTAAACATAAAGCTGTCATCTGTTCTCAGAATGAAGAGCTTGATGGTTTCTCATGCTCTGTGCTGGGCAGGGACTTAGATCAGTTATAAGACAGCAAGTGGCTCCTCATATCATAGGCAATGTGTGATGGAAATGGGGCTAGGAGTGGAATGGGACCAGCCTCTGAAATTAAAACTTTGTGGACAAGAGGAAAGGGAATGATGGGGAAATGCAGGATTTAGAAAGCATCATAGCAACAAATACAAACCATCCGGAAACCACTGAATATTTTAGTGAGGAAGGAACTAGATATCAAAGTTATCTGTAGACAGTCAAGTAATGTTTTCTGAAAGGAGTTCTGAGAAAGATACAAAATGATGTGAAGATCCCATTCTGGTCCAATAGACAGGAAAGGTGGTCTGTGATGGGAGAGTCTCTCTGTGCGTAGCAGGGGGTAGCTGTTGTCTGTAGAACTGCGGAGAGAACTGTAGAAAGGTAATTTAGCCAAACTGAACCTGGAAGACATTTTCCCTAGAAATTGATTTTTTGCTTGTCTGTGTTTAATATCTATGACTATATAACTTACCAGGTGGTTTCTTGTGTTGGACGTTGTGCACCACAACATCCCAATTAATCTTTAAAATTATATGACACAGGTACTGTCCCTATTTTGCAGTTGAAAGGAAATAAAATTTACATTAAATAGTGTACACTCAGGATTACACAGCAACAATGTAGATTTGAATCCTGTCATTCTACCTCAAAGTGACACTGTTAACCAATCGTTATTTTGCTGTCAAATTGTGGGATGGTTCAACAGGAGATGCGTTCCATTAGGGTTAGCTGTTGTGACCTAGTCTGCACACTCATCTTTATCTCCAAGGGAAAGTGTTTCCAGTTCCACTTAAGAACCTGAAGTTCAAAGTTTCATTAAGCTGGGCGTCTGCCCGTAAAATGCTGAGGGGCTGGGGTGGAAGTACAAATGGATACATTCGGTAAAGAACTTTCAGGCCAAACTAAATTTGAACCTCGTCTAATAATAACAATAAAAATAAAAATAATTATAGCTCTACTTATGAGCCTGCAAACCTCATTGTCTCGTGTCATCCCCACAATTAATAATCCTGTGAGGTAGGTTCTTATATCCAAATTTTACAGACAAGTAAACTGAGGTCGAGATGTTAAGCAGTTACACTGTTAGCAAATGGCAGAGAAGGGGTTTGTACCTAGGTAGTCTTCCTTCCCTATACTTTGTCATCTCCAAAAGAGTGCCTTTGTCAGTTCTTGAGCTACCAAAGTGAAAACCTTGCTAGCCTGAGTTACAGAAGCAATGAGAGCCATCTGTTCCAGCTTCCAGGGCTACATGGGGGCAGCTGAACCATACTGAATGGGTTCCTCAACATGCGTCCTGGCAGGCTGCAGCCACATGACAGTCTCCCCTCCAAATCTAGCACCAACTACACAGAGAGCGATACGTGTTGAACGGTAGCTTTAATATACTCGGCCAAGCCACTCAGGCTCATTTGCAATCACCTTCAAACAGATGGAACGAGGTTTTTCAACTGTGCTGCCAAATGAATGGCAGCAAAGGAGATTACTGTTTAATCTCCAAGTTTCCACACAGATACATCATCCAGCAGAGACTGTACTGGTACATCTAGGTGAAAGGTACTGACACACAAGCTGTACTTTTTCCGGACAACTGTAGAAGGGGGAGCCAGAAGGATTGAAGGGAGCCAGCAACAAGGTCTTGTACCTTATAGATTTCTTCCAAGAGGTTGCAAGGTGGCACTTAGGATTTATTCTGTCCCAAATTTTTAGCATTTATACCAAGATGTTGAAATGCGTTTCTTGGAATGGAGGTTCATAGACTTGAGTGTGCATTCGAATCTTGTAGGGAGCTTGTTAAAAATACAGATGCTTGGTCTCCTACCAAGGATATTCTGAGTCAGGAGGTCTTGGCTGGGGCTCAAGCATCTATATATTTAAAGCACCCTAGTGATGCCAATGCTAACTCAATTTAGAGAAGTACTGGCTTGGGAAGGTGGGGACAGTCAGGGTGGCTTGTCTTCTGTCATTAGCAGGACATCTCTTTGAATCACTGTTGGGGTTTGGAGCACCCTGGCATGGTGGATGAAAACAGAGGCTCTGCAGTCAGACTGAGACTGAGCTGTTTTAATGTCATCTCTATCACCTACCACTCTGAGACCTGGAATATGTTACTTTCCTTTTCTGAGCCTCCGTTTTCTCATCTGTAAAATCTATCACTAGTAATAGCTTCCTTGGAGGATAATTGCCATGATTAAGTGAGCCAGTATATATAAAGTACTTGACACTGGGCCTAGACCATAGTAAGCACCTAATAAATGTTAGCTACAATTATGATGATTATCATCAGGCTATAGTTTTACCTTACAACTGACTAAGGAAATATACGCCTCTTTGGAGCCTGCAGATGCAAAGGGGAGGCCCATATGTGAGGGAAACGCAGAGTCCCCCCGGCCCTTGAAAGTGCCTGTTTGATGCTTGAGTGCAAAAACATCAGCAGCCTAGGACATGTTGTACAGTGTCGGTGGAAGTGGGGGTGGGGGCAGGAGGGGATTCTTGGGCCTTGTTTTACATGGATCATGTTAACTAGCTGCTGAGATTATAGCTCTGAATGATTTTTTTAGTTCCGTTAATTCATCCTGGACCCTCTCCCAGACAGGCCCAGTGAGAGGTTGAGAATTCAGCTTATGTATTTCTCATGTGTGTCTTCCTTGTTGAAACATGACTGGGAATTCATACTATTCAAAGGCTTACGTAATGCCTTTCTCTGAGCAGTCAAAGCTGTAGCATGTGCCCTTTCTCAGGTTGCCTTTGCAGATCCCGGGTGCCCTGGGCACACCTGTTTGCTTTGGAAGATGACATGTTTATTCACATGGATTCCCATTGTCACACGGGCTGCAGAAGGTGTGTAATGTGTTTCTTGGGTCAATTATGTGTAATTACTACACGTGACTGAAAACCATGTTGATAATATGGCCATTAAAAAATGATGCTGTGGAAAGCTCGTGGCAGGAAAAAAGTTCCAGCTAGACCCATTAAATGAAAACAAGCACATTCTGGACGCATGCTTTTAGCACTATCACCAAGTGAACAAAGCAGATACCATTAAGTATGATGTGAGTCTGCTTTGTTAAAAGCATGACACACGTCTCTGTGTGTGTGTATATGTATATATTCCTCTGTGTAGCAGAACAATTGGACTTTTACACACCAAAATGAATACAGCTGGAGGGTGACCCATGCAGGATATTTGTGTGCAGATGCAAATGCTTTTCTGTACTTTCTAAGTTGGAGAGAAATGTGTATTTCTTATATATTCACTTGTTTTTAAGTTATTAAAAACAAAACTTCCTAATCATACCTTTCATGTACTATCTTAAACCCATTTTGCAGTGAGTCGTGGTATAAAAGTAAGTAAACGTGTAGTTTCCTTCTTTCTAATGAGCAAGAATATAAGCCATCTGTACGTGGACTCCCTCAGATCCCAGTCAACTGTAGATTAACAGGAAAGCAATTTTTCCTGAAAGCAAGTTCTCATGTAGAAAAGAGGGCTGTCTTGTGAATAATAGAGTGTCCATTTAACTCTGATCATTCAACCCCCTATTCAACATTCATCAGAGGCCCATTCCTCCCTTGTGGTTTCTGAAATGGTGTTTTAGGGCTAGTCTTTCTCATTGTGCCTCCATGTCTCTTTCCTGTGAATCAGTGCAATCCCAGGCCAGCCACAGTGACTTCCCCATTCTCTCACGAAATTCAGTTTTATTGGCATTTTTTCCCTTTGCAAAGAAAAGGGTTATTACAGGTGATATAGGGAGAGAGTCAGTCTGTCCACCCAGAACCATAATCAGAAGTCGTTTTGCTGAAGATCATCTGTCAAAGTTTTAATATCATCTTTCATGTACTATGATCAAAACAATGGATTGACTCTACTTTTCACTTTTTTTTTTTTTTTTTTTGAGACAGAGTCTTGCTCTGTTGCCCAGGCCGTGGAGTGCAGTGGCACGATCTTGGCTCACTGCAACCTTCGCCTCCTGGGTTCAAGTGATTCTCCTGCTTCAGCCTCCCAAGTAGCTGGGACTACAGGTGCCCGCCACCACACCTGGCTAATTTTTGTACTTTTAGTAGACATGGGGTTTCTCCATATTGGCTAGGCTGGTCTCGAACTCCTGACCTTGTGATCCGCCTGTCTCAGCCTTCCAAAGTGGTGGGATTATAGGTGTGAGTCACCGCGCCCAGCCTACTTTTCAACTCAATGTGTAGAGTCTGTCATCACCCAAACTCCTTTTTAATATTTTTTTTTTAAAATTGCCCAAACTGTTTTTATATACCCAAACTTATTACACAGACTGCTTTCTAAGATTATTTTTATCATAGGGACTGAGGCTGCTGGGTCAGCCTGAAATGAGACCACCTCAGATTTTAGTGTGGCTTGGCATGTCACTATTATCAGGAGCAAGAGCTACAGGGGGTAAAAATTGCTTTGGAAAATCTGATTCCAAACTTCCCATGTACTTGGGTATTTCCCAGAGATGGTAAACTCAGAAATTTCTGTACACTCATCATTTTTTATTGCAAAATTCATTAAGCTGCCGTGCTATTATCATCCCATCTTGTCAAGATGATACATTACAGACTTCATTGCAAAACTTTAACAAGCAGGAGAAAGTACACCTCTCTCCTGACCACAGCACAGGAAAGCCTCTGGGTATTTTGTGTTTGCCTTCCTATTTTTTTATATAAATCTCCTTGTCTTTGTAAAACTTCGCGCTGTCTGGTAACTCCCTTTTCTTCTTGTTTGATCATGTGGAGAGTCCGTTCCCTCCTTTTGGCTCTATGAGGCATCCTGAGAGGCTGTTAAAGAACAGTCCTCTTGCCTCTTCTTTTTGCCCTCTACTCTTAGGCACCATGGAAAGTTGGGATATTAGCCTGTATTCTGACAGAGTCCCATGCATGGTGGGAAACCTCCCGCAAATGTTTCATATTTACCCTCCAGCTCTGTGTATTCAGTGAGCCAGACCTGTTCGGGCCTGCCAAGACGTGTGAATTTGGCTTGGCTCTGTGAGTGCTTTCCTGGCCTCGCCTCTGGGTTCTGTGATAAACAGAGCTCCTGCCTCCCGTGTGTGATGGGGTTGCCATTAGAGTGGGTCGGAGTCACTTGGTAAATATGGAAAGTGAAGTCGCTCAGCTCCCAGATTTCCATGGCAACCCCCAGAACAAGTACAATATCACCAAAATTATTCTGCGGCTTTCCTTTTTTAGTTGCAGTGATTTGGTTGCATACTCATGTTTTTCCGTTCCTGATTTGTACGAAAAACAAAAACTCTGCCCACTGTCATCAGTACTTTGGTTTCAAGGACATTCATGGTCCCTGTCTAAAGCACCTGAAAAATTCAGTCACACAAAACTACCTCTTTCTGTTCCAGCAGCATAAATTTTTGACTGTGTATTATTCCCTTATATTTAAAATTTATCTTATAACCATTCACGGAGCCTTAGTGTCAGTGACCCGTGGGCGAGGCACCAGGAATGGATGGCTAATGTTGACCTCACCAGCCACATTAATGGATGCTGTGTGGCCAGACAGCATGTCCCTGCCCTCAGGTAGTTTGCATCCTTAAGGACCAAGTTCACATCCAGTTTGTCACTCCTTATAGAACGTATGTTTGTGAAAGCACTGCCAATGCATGCTTACCATTATTTGGGGATTTATTTTATCATTTTCTTGTTGCTAGGGTCTTGTTTTCTGTGACTGATACAAAGACAGATTCTTGTTGACAAACATGTTTGAGGTGGGCAAGCATTCTCACTGACTTCAACCAGTTTAGGCATACTTCTGAGTTGTGGGCATTCTTTCCTTTTTGTCATGGTCCTCTATGATCTTGTTGACTTGACTCATAACTAGCTGTTTTTCTTTTGACGCCCACTAGCCTATAATTTTTTTCCTTCAGCAACATAATTGCCATCAGTCCTTCTTATACCTTCTATGAGGATACCAGAGCTGGATTGAATCATCAGTGACTCAGGGAAGTCTAGCTATGTTATTTGAAAGATTTGCTTAATTTTTATTTTTATTTTTTAAAGTGTTTTCTAGGCTGCCTGTTCTTCTGCGCTTCTGTCAGGAGCAGTACTCATTTGCCTAGCTGATGAAAAACGCTCCTATTTTGAGTGACATTACTGAATATTATTATTATTATTATTTAAAGGAGGCAGAATCTTGCTCTGTCACCTAGGCTGGTGTGCTGGGTCACCATCATACCTCACCACAGCCTTGAACTCCCAGGCTGAAGCAATTCTCCTGCCTCAGCCTCCCAAGTATGTGGGACCACAGGTGTGTACCACCAGGCCTGGCTAATTTTTAACTTTTTTTTGGTAGAGATGGGGGTCTCACTATGTTTACCAGGTTGATTTCAAAATCTTGGCCTCAAGTGATCCTCCCACCTTGGCCTCTGAAGGCGATGGGATTGCAGGCATGAACTGCCATGCTTGGCTCATTTTCTCCTTATTTCCTAATTGACTCCAAATGCTTTAAAATTTGTCTTGGTATAGTTTGCTATAACCACTAAAACATTTGACTGGCCATTGATCTTATTCTCCACCCTTTCCCTGGAATAATCCTCACCTGCCTACTCACCCTCAGTAAAGATTGTCAGCCTTTCAGCTTAGATCCTCTACCTAGATGTTCTCAGTCTCATTATGTATTGTCTACAGATGATGAGACCTTTCTTCTACAAAATTGTAGTCGTTTGATAGTCAGGCAGTGCCAGGTTTCTGGGTTTTCTTGTCATTTGTCCCAGCAAGGGATACCAATAAAGAGTTGGCCTCTTAGGATGCATATTTGGCCCTCTTGGCTGTAAAACTATGAAGCCTTATGATACATGTTTATACCCTCCTTTACTAATGGATAGTAAGGGAGAAAAATAATCTCCTGCCAACGTTTTAGAAAGACGAATATACTTTTAGCAAGATACTGTTTTTAGTTTGTAGAATGATAATCCTCTCCTGGAAAAGTAAATATAATCACAGGAGAAATGTGAGTGATAGTTACGCTCTTCTGTTTCCAGAGAATTATGTCACGCAAACTTGGCCCTTTAAGCTTCTCAAAATCAAGTTAATAAACCTGTTTCTCTGTCCTGTCCTGTGAAGCAGTAAATGTCTCCAGTTGAAGCCCGGGGAACCATCCTCACTCTCTTTCTTTATATGGTAGTCTCGAGCTCCTCATGGTCTTTCGGGCATCTTTGTATGCGTGTTTTGTAAAAAGGAAAATCTTACTGATACTGATTCATACTGATAAATGGTACATCCAATCTCTCAGTGATCCCCTTATTATGTAATCTTAGTGTTGTTTTTCTTTCTGGTAGGAAGTTCCCATTTACAGGCCCTGTTAGTCCTCCTACATCTTGGCTCAGTGTAACTCTTTTGGCTTCTCTTTGTTGTCGTTTTTGTTCAAAAATGAAGCTCTTAAAATATGAACAGTTCTAAATCTCAGACATCAGTTCAATCTACTTTTTCCAAATCTACTTTGAGTTCAGTAGTCGGGAGGTAGCCTCATAGGGTTTTTCTCTCTCCTGTGGGGCTTTATCCAGGGCATTAAGGATTTGCTAAGATATCAGGGGTATTGGGGTGAGTGTGTATGTATTTAGTGTGAGGCTTACTGTAAAATCACTTCATAAGCATACTTTATTTTTACAGACATGACTCGTGCAAAAGGAAAAGTATTTTTATGACACATCATCCTCTTAGTTGCCTAAAGAGACCTGAGTTCAAATGTTGCCCTTTAAATTATCATACCACTGACTCTAGACTATCCTGTGAGGGACATATTGTAACATACCCCTGACTCACTGCAAAAAGGTCCAGGATTAGCCTAGATATTATGTTTAAGTGAATTAATTGCCAGAAGTATCAGTTGATTTTAGTATAGTATATCTGTAATCAATAGAGGACAAGAATCACATTCCACATCTATAATATTTTGCTACAGCAATGATGGGTGTCTGTACCATTTAGCTAAATTATCTCCAAAAATTGTGTTTTCCATTCATGATTCCAAGTTTTTAAAGATGGGAAGAACATAAAGTTCTGTTCTTTGAGCGGTATTCTGAAGTTTACAAGATACATTCCTGCCTGTGATCCCACTTGATCCTCATGACAGTTCCACAAGCTGTGAAAGGCAGTTCTTGTTCTCCCCATTTTATAGATTGTTAACCAGGAATCCAAGATCAAGTAGAAATTGCCGGAGGTCACATAGCCAGTCAGAGCTTGAAGAGAACTCAGCTTTTCTGTCTCTTGGCTTGGCAATATTCTCCAAGCGTGAATATGACTGCTGGGACTATGGACTCAGGTATTTTGTTGTTGTTTATAGGCAAACCATTCTGCAGCCCAGTACAGAGTGATTTATCAAAGAATTCACTTGAAGTTAAACACCAAGTACATGGAGCTAGAGGCAACACCGAAAGACGTGTCTGAGAAAGGGTCAGGAATTTAGACTGTTGGAGTCATAAGGACACTGGTGGCTGAATAGTAGATCTTCTCTGGTGAGGCTCTGTGGAATTGGAGGTGGGACATGGCCTGATGAATTAGAGCAATATTAGAGACAGGAGTTTTAGAATGAAAGGTGAGTGTCACAGAAGCCAAGGGGATCTGGGTGAATGTGAGGGGGTCTATGAAGGCTTTTCTCTAGTCTGGCAATCTGCCAGTCAAAAGAAGATGCAATTTATGGTGCCATGGTAGGGCCACTTTTAGAAAAAATCCTGGCTTATATTAAAGGGGAGATATATCCTGTTACAACGAGGAAGGGGGTTTGCTTTAAAATTTCGAGTCACCTGTTCCCCCTTGACTCTTCCTTTCCCACTTTTAATTCTTAACCTTTTCTATGTTGTTTCTTAAGCTTCCCTGGGATCAGAGATCTTGATCCAGTCTTATTCTTTATAAATTTTTGTGCATGTAGCAATAGACTGTCGCTATGCAATAATAGTAATATGGGACTTGTGACTTTTTCCCCCCAGAGGAACAAAGGAACAGCATCATCAACTCCAGTTTGGAATCTGTCTCATCAAATCCAAACAGCATCCTTAATTCCAGCAGCAGCTTACAGCCCAACATGAACTCCAGTGACCCAGACCTGGCTGTGGTCAAACCCACCCGGCCCAACTCACTGTAAGTATGATGTCCAGCTGCCTACCCCACAAGGACTTTGGTCAGCCATTCCACCTAGAATTTGCTATCTGGCTCCATCTGACTTCGGACCATTGTCCCCTGAACATTATTTAAACCTCCTCCCTAAACTGGGAGCTCAGCTGGCTTGTTGTGGGTTTTTCAAGCATCATCATCTCAGAGGGAGTCGTTATTCTTAACATACTGCTTCTTAGCCTTGGTGATTTTTGATTTACCGTCCTGCTGAGATGGCTTTGGTGATAGCTATTGCCTGTGCTGGCTGCTGGGCATGAAAAGCAATTTCTGTAAGTTTTACAAACATCCAGGGGCTGTAGCAGCTCTGTGGCCGAGTTTGTTTCACTCATCCATGTTGTCTCGGTTTCCCTCCCCACTGACTATGTTGGAAATGTTCAGTGCCGCCTCCGTGTCCGCTTCCATAAGGAAGAGGCTCCAGGAGCCCTTTGTGTCTTCACATCCTCAAACCTTAGCATGACTATGACTTCTTAACAGATACTATTAAAGAGAAGAACCCTTTTTGCTTTATTTTTGGGCATTGAGCACCCATAGTCAGGACAATTAGTTTGGGGGCTGGTTGTCTAGCCCTCCACGGAAACTAGATCTACTCTGCTAGGATCAGAAAGTTCTCCCTCATGGTTTCAACCCACATTGCTTCGCATGCTTCTTTAGACCATCCCATAAATCTTGTCAACTAGCGCCTTTGCAGAAAGAATGTGAGGCCATGACCAGAACAGTTGGACTCTCAGGCTACAGTTATGTAAGACTCAGGAAAAACAGAGATGATTTTGCCTTTCTCTAAGTGAAAATAGATTGAGGTTCAGCCACAGACTGTCTTCAGGGTGGTTGTTTCACGTGGGGAGACACTAGCAAGGCGGTGAGATGCTAGGATGTCAGTAACCTTTTACTGCTCCTCCGCATGCCGTAGTTTCATGGCAGTACCCTGTCATTCAATCGCTATGAGATATTTACAAATCTGCAAAATGAGTCTGATAATGCCTTAGAAGACACTAAGGGCTATTAAATACTTGGGAGGAGAGATGACTCCAAAATGGACGTAAGAGGTACATAATAAAAATGTTACTATACTGTGGGATGAAATCTTAAACTGAGAATATCAGGTCTTTTTAGTTGTTGGCAGCTTTAAATCATACTGATGTTCAGGAAGTTTAATTATTTGCCCGTTGAGTGGTAAATCGCATGTTCCTTCACCAAGAAGTGGACCAGTGCCTCAGGACCTCAAAATAATTGAATTTGTTCAGCTTATGGGCAGTGAGTCTCTTCTGGTTCTCCATGGCTGGGCTTGCCTAGGGAGCCTCCCTGCCTTGAGGTTTGGCCTTCTTAGGTGCTCCTATACCCGCTTTCCTGGACTTTAGGGAGATTCTATTTTCTTTACTTTTTTTTTCTTCAGTTGGTTTAATTTTCTGTACCTAGCAGTTGCTAAAGTTATTTCTTGCTGTGTATGAGCAAGGTTGAATTTCTAGCCCAAGTTGCTTAACATCCCCTGATTTTAGCCAGCCACTACCAATGAGTGGTCTGTAATTTTTTTTTTTTTTCAGTGGCTGGTAGCTGTGAGCCCCTGAGTCACTGCTGAGTACAGTGTGTACAAAGAGGTTGCTTAAGCAGCTAAGTGGAAAAGGGGGGTGTGTCTTTTAAACAGGTCCTGAGGAGAAGGCTTGGGATTTTTTATTTTTTAGGTGTCTAGATACGATTTTTTTTTTTTCCGTAACATCCTAGGAATCGCTCTGCCTACTTCACACCACCCAGAGGGACTGTTCCCTGCCTGGTACAGATCTGGGGGGCTTTTCTAGGGAAGGGAGGGTGATAACAGGAATGGTTCTACTTGTTTGTCTCTGGAGGAGGATTAGAAAAGGAAGTGTGGGTGTGCCTCCAACAAGACCACTGTCCTTCCAAGCCGAGTGAGTCGCTGATTGATACCTTTGAGTCTTAAGGTCAGGGAAGGTTGTTCCCCGAGGTAGAAGCAGTACCCGCACCAGCACTGATACCAGCGTCTGCCATGGCCCTGAGTGGCAGCCATGCCAAAGTCCCCCATAAGCTCTGCAGGCAGGCTCACAGCCACTTCTCAAACCCAAGGCAGTGAGGTGGTTTTCCTGGGTTCCTGTCTCCCTGATATTTTCTGCCTGGGATTTGCTGGTGTGGATCATGCATGGCTGTTAGGCAGTCCTAACAAATGGACCCACAGTACTTTCCCTGAGCAAATTGATTCTGAGAAATCTGTCGGCACACGGATGTGCCATGGTAACAATCACTCGAGACCACTTGGGTCTCAGCCCCAGGTGTGGACCCATTTGTTCCCGCCATCATTGTTCGGTTGGAAGTGTCCAGAGCTCCTCCAGTGGGAACACTTAATGATGCAGATGAAAATGAGGAACATAGGTGAGCTGGGAGGATTACCATTAGCTTGACTATTAAATAGGCATGAGGTACGGAACCAGCCACCATGAAGCTATCTGTTCTTTTTATTTCACTCCTTTATTTCACTATTTTTTGTAATGACTGGGATATCATTATGACCAGATAGAAAAATAGCGAAAGAAACATGTTTATAACTCATAATACAGTGGTACCTCTGATGATACATTTTGCGGTATTATTAATCTTCCCTAATTCTCCAAGGATATCAGGGCGCTCTTATTTACATGAATGTAATGCTAAATCAGACATCAAAATTAGAGATGCCATCATTCTACCTGTGCCAGGGCAAGGCTGCTGGGTTTAAATCTTTGGCAGGTCCTCAGCTTGACTCCTGAAGTAGCCATCTCTCCTGAAGAACAAAGGACAATTGGTAAGTCAGGACCAAAGTCCAGCTAGTCTGAAATTGTTAACAACTGTGGCTGAACCTATTTTATGCCCAGACCCATGCATGCCAAGCAACCTGGGGTAAACCAGAAAAAGAGGGTTCCTGTCTTCCCCAAGAGTTCACAGTCTAGCTAAGGAAGAAAGGCAGTGGCATATGGCAGTGCTAATAGGGACTTACAAGTCATAGTGTGTTTAGATTTCAACCACTATTACCTGAGTATCTGCTGAGTGCACACACCAGGTTGAAGTAGTGGGAAACGTCTGGTAGATGGAGTGTGAGGTGGGCGTTAGGAAAAACTTAGGTGGATGGATGAAGAGCATTCCAGGTAAGAGGGATGAAGGAGGCAGAGATTATCTAGAATGGATAAATGCATTCTGCAGACATGTGTATTAGGGGAGAGGGGAGCTGTAATTCCTCCGGTACCACTACTACCAAAAAAAAGACTTGAATGAACCTTTAAAATCAGGAGACTTCACATAAAATTCAGATTTCATGCTGGAACAATTGGACATCCACATGCACAAAAATGAATCTAGATACAGACATCATACCTTTCACAGAAACTAATTCCAAATGGACCATAGGTCTAAATGTAAAATGCAAAACTGTAAAACTTCTAGAAGATAACATAGGATAAAACCTAGGTGGCCTTGGATATAATTATGACTTACTAGATACAACATTCAAAGTATAATCCGTGAGATAAAAGCTTGTTAAGTTGGACTTTGTTTAAACTAAAAACTTCTGCTCTGTGAAAGACACTCAAGAGAATGAAAAGACAAGCCACACACTAGGAGAAAATATTTGCAAAACACATATCTGATAAAGGATCAGTATCCAAAATATACAAAGAACTTTTAAAATTCAATAATAGGTAAACAAAGAACCCAATTAAAATATGAGCAAAAAATATGAACAGATACCTAATCAAAAAGGACATACAGGTATCAAGTAAGCATAAAAAATATGATTCACTTCTTATGTCTTCAGGGAAATACAAATAAAAACAACAGTGAGATACCACTACACACCTATGAGAATGGCCAAAATTCCAGAACACTGACAACATCGGATGCTGGCAAGGATGTGGAGCAGTGGGAACTCTCACTCATTGCTGGTGGGAATACAAAGTGATACAGCCATTTTTGGAAGACAGTTTGGTGGTTTTTCACAAAACCAAACATATTCTAAGCATACAATCCAGCAATCATGCTCTTTGGTATTCACCCAAATGAGTTGAAATTTATGTCTACACAAAAACCTGCACATGGATTTTGTTAGTAGCTTTATTTATAATTGCCAAAACTTGGGAAGCAACCAAGATGTCTATCAGTACATGAAAATGGATAAACAAACTATGGTGCACGCAGACAATGCTATAGTATTCAATGATTTTTAAAAATGAACTCTCCAGCCATGAAAAGACATGGGGGAACTATTAATGCATATTGCTAAGTAAAAGAAGTCAGCCTGGCAGGGCGCAGTGGCTCACACCTGTAATCCCAGCACTTTGGGAGGCCAAGGCAGGCAGATCACTTGAGGTCAGGAGTTTGAGACCAGCCTGGACAACATGGTGAAGCCCCATCTCTACTAAAAATACAAAAAACTAGCCGGGCGTAGTGGCGGGTGGGCCTGTAGTCCCAGGCTCAGGAGGCTGAGGCAGGAGAATGGGTTGAACCAGGGAGGCAGAGGTTGCGGTGAGCTGAGATCACGCCACCACACTCCAGCCTGGGCTACAGAGCAAGACTCCATCTCAAAAAACAAGAAATCAATCTGAGAAGACTACAATATGATATAATACCAAATATATGGCTTTCTGGAAAATGCAAAATTACGGAATCAATAAAAAGATCCATGGTCGCCAGGGATTCTGGGGAGAGGAACAGGGATGAATATTTGGAGCACGGGGCATTTTTTTCACGGTGAGACTATTCTGTGTGATGCTCGAATGGGATATACACAAGATATTATGCATTTGTCAAAACCCATAGAACACGAAGACTGAATGCTAATGTAAACTATGGCCTTTAAGTTAATAATAATGAACCAATATAAATATTGGTTCATGAGTTGTAACCAGTGTATTGCGTTAATGCAAGATGTTAATAATTGAGGAAACTCAGAATGTAGAAATAGAGAGGGTATGTGTAAAACTTTCATGCAATTTTTCTGTAAACCCAAAACTGCTCTAAAAAATAGAGTCTATTAATATATCTTTTTAAATCCAGATTTCCAGCTTCTTTTGAAATTTCAGAAGAGGTGGCTATACTAAACCTGTGTGGAACTTGGGAGCAGATGATGCTCTCTGGTCTCTATTATCTCACAGCTGGCCTGCTTCACTTTTATACCTAATGCCTGTAGGCCCATAGTCAATTAAAAATGGCCACAGAATCTTTGGAATCCCTCCCATTAAGAGCTAGAGCCCTTGAATCTAGGCTGGCCTTTACCTTTTGACTTATTTTGGCCAATAGAATGTGGAGGAAGTGACATCATGTGCCTTCCCGAGCCCAGGCCACAATGCCTCACAGCTTTCTCTCTCATCCTCTTGGAACCCAGTCACCATGTGAAGAAGCCTGTTGTAGCCTCCTTAAAGATGACAGATTACGGGAGGGAGAAGCCCAGCTATCTCTCTCAGCCCAGCTCAGTATCGGGACCACCAACCAGTTGAATGCCGCTCACCTGGGTGAATCAGGCAAGCCCAGTCAAAAGCTTCCCAGACAACCTATAGGTTCATGATAAATATCACATTGTGGTTGTGGGAACCCAGTGAGTTTAGGGTGGTTTCATATGCAGTGATAGTAAACTGATACAAGGCCTGTGAGTTTGTGACCTTGGAGTCATGGGCAGCTGTCTTGGGATGGGGCTGATCTGTCTGCATGCATAGAAAGGTATGGAAGGGTCTCACTATAGCATAGTGCAGCATGGAGACTGGCCTCTCAGTTTTCAGAATCTTCTTGGAAAGAAAACAACTCGTAACTGAGATTCTAAGAAATTTAAGAAACAAAATGTATGGCTAATGGCAGAGGCAAACAAGAAAGGTGGCTCAAACATTGGAATGGAAAGCAGGAAACCCTAGGTTTTAGTTCTGGCATCAACATTGCCTGGCTGATGATACCAGTCCCTGGACCTGAGCATGCCCGCTACCACCACCACCTTCCACTCTCTCTGGTGGAGGAAGTGGGGCTTATCTACTTCCAAGGGTGAGGGTCGTTCAATGGGTGCTTACCGAGGGCTGCAGAAACAAATCGTCCCCTCCTTCCACGATGACCAGTGGGGCATCATGCCAACTCCCTTCTGGGAGAGAGTGATTTTAAAGGAGGAAGTAAACAAATGCTGAGAAAGAAGTCAGGGGATGCCCCACCAGGGACATAACATGCTGCAGTAGTTTCCCCAAATTAGAAACGACTAGGTGAATGCCTTCTTTAGACCACAAAGATTGAAAGATTGAAAGAAAACTAGGAAGGCTGGGATGATTACCGCAATGATGGAACCCAACCTTGGAGTTCTCTCTGCCTAAGTGGTCCCCACCCCTAAAAAATAACTAACTGCTCAGTAGCCTCATAAATAAAACTAATTTTTTCTCGTCCTTCCCCCTTAACACACCCTCTCATGCATTTCCAAGTTATTTCTGGTGACCTAAAAGACACGCATGCCAAACGCCTGCAGATTCTGCCAGAGTCAACCTTCCTCTCCTGTCTCAGTGGCCAGAGAACAGTCCCTGGAATTCAAAGGATAAACAAGGCCTGCGTCCAGACAGAGTTGTTTCTCTGAAACATTGCTGGCTTCTGAGTTTGATTCAGCTGCTCTCTGATGAAATTCAGGGAAGACTTGCTTTCAGAGATATCTCTCAGATTTTACGTATCTTCAGCTTAGCTGGTCAGCATTCATTCCACAAATATCAATTGAACTCCTACCGTGGGCCTGGTGGTGTTCTGAGTGCTGAAGGTACAGTGATTTAAAAATATTAAGAAAAAAAAAAAGAGTTTCTGCTTTCATGGATTTCATATTCTAGTGGAGACAGGAGATAAATCAGTGTTTAACACAGTATATCACACAGTATATTGAGAAGTCCCAGGGAGAAAGCTAATGGAGAATCAAGGACATAGGGATTTGGAGGGGAAGGAGGCAAGTGACGTTAGCTCTCTGTACCTCAATTTTCTCATCTGTAAAACAGTGTGATCATAACCTCCTCAAATAAAGTGGCATGAAAATTAAGTAAGATCATCTTTTATTTACATATTTTAGTACTGTGTATGGCAATTATTAGTATTATTTTGGAGGGCTACCCCCACACACTATCCTTACATTTTCTCCAGTCCCTCAGCCATGGTATGTATTTTTCCTGTGCAGAGAAATGTCCCCGGCTGTCCCACTCACCTTCCCCCACCAGCCTCCTACCTTGAATCTGAGACTGGAGCTATAACTCAGTCCAGGCTGTAAGTTATCATTGAAGAGGAGGAAGGAACTTCTGCTGTAGAGGCAAGTGTTACCCCTCCTTAAAGCAAGACCAGCTAGGGTAGACACGCCACGCCCTGTTCCTGGAAGCTTTGGAAACCTCTAAATCCCACAGGGTACCTGATAAGTTGTGTGCATAGCTGTTATTTATTGAGACCAAATGCATGGCAAAGTGAATAATATGCATTAGACAAGTGATAATTAATGACATCTTTTTTTAAAAAAAGCAATTTTACCATCCCCATGCTATTTTATGCCAAAGGGTTACACCCAAACAGGCAGCTATGATTTTACTAGAATTGTCTCTATTTGTCATCCTTTGGAATGTGAGGCTTTGAAAGAGGAAGTTTTCCTCTGTGGCTGGATCAGCTTTTTGTGGAGAAGGATATTTCCTTTTAGATTGAGGATTCTGTTTCTCACCCACCTCCAGGCAGAAAAGGTCTCTTCAGACCGGTTTGCCTGAAAACTCGGTGACATTCCTTACCTTTGGAAATAACCTGAACGCCTCATTGTTCTCAAGAGGATTCATTTGCCTCTCCTTGCTCCCCACAGTGCCCTTGGTGATTCCAGCTTACTTACTCGTTCATTGTTGTTTCTTGGACATGCCAGATACCCTCCCTCTGTCACCTCAGGCTCCTGGGCTGTGGAAGCCACAGCTCTGCCCCGTAACTAGGCCACGTTCCCTTGACATTTTCAGTTTGTTACTGGTGTGACCCATTTTCTGAGTGGCTTCATGTCCGCTTTTCCCTTTCCCTAAGCAAGATCTCACTCATCAATCAGGAGCCCAGCTGGGCTTCCCTTGGTTGAGGGTGGAGATTCCTGCCTCCATCCAATTTTTATTAGATAAATGGGTTTGGTTATTAGTGGTGGTTCTTCTTTTTTAAAATATAAAAATTGCTTGAGACAGCCCTCACACTTGGTGAGCCAGCAGGATTTCCTTCCCAAGCACCAGGGACCCATTGGTGACACTTGGATCTCTACGGCCTGTCAGCAGAGGGGGTATGGGAGGAGGTAGGGACAGGGCGCCTTCTGAATGCCTAGCCACATCCCTGTTTTCCAGCAGAGTGGAAATCACAAACGGAAAAATGTTTTCCTTTACACATATTGTTCTGTTCTTTTCTCCTGTACAAGCTAAAATCATAGAAAGGGTCTGTATTTTTTCTTTAAACTTATAAATCTTGCTAAATAACCTAAAACAGTTTCCAAAAATTGCCCTGATGTATACTACATGCTTAAAGTCTTGGGGTTTAATTAAAGGTATGAATGACTGAATTTCATTTTGAATTTAGCTGCCCTCAAGTGCCTTATGACACTGTATTTTATTTGTGTAAGTTTAGGCATTTTAAATCTCAAATTTTTGGTAGAATATATGGGAAGGAAAGACGCTTAAGATTTTGCATGACTTTTCAGCATTGTTATGCCTGTAAGGGAACTTTGAAGGAACTCTAAAGTGTTATTTTTCTTATTTAGGATTAGAATTGTTTCTACCTCTGTGTATTTAATCGGAGGGATCTTATTCATAGATTCAGATTCTAAATTGGGTAAATTAAAAGTACATTAGAGTTCAAGTACTGCTTTTGAAACCTTTTTTAGTCAATCTGGAA